CGCGGTGTCGGCGCCCGCCTCCGCGCCCGCGGCTTCCACCGGGTCCTCCTCCCGCCGCCTCTTCCTCAGGCGACTCTGGACCCCTCTCAGGGGCCGGTCCGCCGGCTCCTGTTCTCGCTTTCTTCGCAGGCGATTCTGAAGCTCTTTCAGAGTCAACCCGTCACTGTCACTATCGGAGGAGTCGTCCTCGTCAGCCTCGCCTTTGGCCTTGGAGGCCGAGGCCGGCCTCTCCCGAGCCCCCGCGGGGCCGGCCGGGGGCCCGCTCTCGACACTGCCTTCAGACGCGGTCTCGGCGTCGGTTGCCGGGCAGGATGCCAGCTCGCCGGGGTCCTCGAGGGACACGGGCGCGCTCCGCCGGCCGCGGCGCCGCACGGTGGTGAGGAACTCCTCCACCCGCTCCGTGCGCTTGGGCTGCCGCCCGCTGCGCCGCAGGGACAGGCTCTGCTGCTGCGGCTGCTGTTCCGGGTCCAGCTCCGCATCCCCCGCGCCCTCCCGCTTGGCGATGGTGGTCCTTCGAAAACCCCACGTCTTCCTGAACTCCTTGCTGGTGGGCTTGATGACTTTGGGCGCCTCCTCGGGGCTCGGGTCGCCCTTCTCATCCATACCTGCCGGTGAAACCAGCGTCAGCCAGGCCACATCTCCAGGCAGGTCAGCACCTTTCAGGCACACACGAGGGGGCCCACCCACCTGGATGTGAACCCCCAAACGTAGTCACACGCAGCCGTTTGCTAGCTGCAAAAACTTAAGGTGTCCATTAACGCAAATTACTCCGACCAATGATCCCCGAAGGGTGAGTGGGATGTGACAACGCGAGGCGACTCCTGAAGAAAATCACAATTGTACGTATTTAACGTCTAGGAGAAAAACGCAGCTGGTAAAGCTGTGATTTCGCCCCTGAAGCTCTTGGTCCAGGTACTGGGAAAACATCAAGGGAGTCACAGCCTAAGTGCTGCCAGGACAAGGCCAGACACGGTTCGCTGCGGCGGATGGGAGGCCTCCGGCGTGGAGACACAGGGTCCAGATCCTGCCCTGCGGCCTGGGCCAGCTCTGCCCTCAGAACAGCGCACAGGGGTCAGCCAGGCCTGGGCCCAGCACCAAGACGGGCCACTGCTGTCCCAGCCCAGGAGCTGCCACGTGAGAATGCAGACCACTCTGCTGGACACCACGTGGGTAGGGCCTTGTGCCGGACCCTGCTGTAGGCCAGGGCCAAGTGAGCCGTGGACGCCTCATGGAGGTAAGGATCAGCCAGCTGAGTCCCGCCCACTCCTTGAGCTCTGACTCCACGGAGGCAAAAGGGCGCTGGGGGCAGTCGTGGCACAGCGACAGGGGACCAGGACACTTGGGAAACGCTGTCCTAGCAAGAGCTTTCATCGTCTTTCTTTCCTCCTTTCTAACAGGTTATTAAAGCGTCGCGTTTGTGAAAACTTTGTAAGAACACGGTACGTACCGAGAATTCTTTTTCAAGCTGTCCAGGCTTCAATCACATTTAACGGCTAATGACAACTCAGATTTCATGCCATGTCCCATCCTAGGGGAAGGACTGGAATAGAATGAACACTTTCAAAATAGCAAATATACCAAGTTCAAAATCACACGCAACCTCATTCCTCCTTTGCTTCCCACTAAGTGGCGTCACTTCCCATTTCCCTGCCACTCTGTACATCCTTCATTCACCTTGTAACTTGGCCTACATGCTCCCAGGCCACTCAGAAACTTGGGGGAGTGAATGTGACATTAGCATGTGTGTCACCAAGGACCATGCAACTTCTCTGGTCACCTGAAGCGACAGCTGAACTAAACTGGGGTGCGAATGGTGATTCCGACCCAGAGTGCTCTCTCTGGCTGGCGACCTTGAGTAAGCCACACTGACCTGCTTCCACCCAGGAGGCGATGAGGACCTCAGAAGGGCGTGGGCCTTACGTGTGTGACACAGCACTAGCCCTCCCAGGAGCAACGCTGTGCCCCCACACATGCACGTGGGAGAGCTGTCCCTAAACCGCGGCAATGACCGCTGCTTGCCACCCGCCCCAGACAGTCTGCGTGTAGCAGGAGCGTCTCCACTCGTGCAATCCAGCTTGCAGGAAGTCCAAGAGCCACTGTGAAAGCGCGCCCAGCACCCTTCCACCCAGCACCCAGGGTGCAGACCAGCCTCTGCCAAGAAGGGGGGGCTGAGACCCCCGCCTCCAAGGGGCTAATCTGGGACCCCCTAAAGCTCACGCAGGGCTGGGGAAGAACCTGGTCCCCACCGCAGTGGGGTGGCTCTCTGAGGAAGAACTCTGCTCTGCAAAGTACAGTTCACCATAGAGAAAATAGGTTGATGCACTAATATAAGGACTAACGCAAAAATGAAAGTTCTGGATCAAATTCTTCACACACTGTTGAAATTTTATCTGAAAACCTTAGGCTAAAATTTAGGCCACGTGAAACAAATATGAGTGTTACACTGTATCACTCCCCTCACATACAATGTCACTCCAGAAATAGCAAACTTCAGACCTACTCCCTTAAAATCTTGCTGTTGACGTCAAACACTAGGGAATACGTTACCTGCCCCTGCAATGAAAGCTCGGACGCTTTTTCTGGACGTCCTGAGTACAAGTACAATAAAACACCTGGCCGATGCGACCATTCGATCCAAGTGAAATGCCAGGCCTCGAATCACCGGTGCTGCCGGTCACGGGTCACGGACACAGGTTATCCTGAGCCTGCTCCCACAGAGTGAGCTCCTAAAAAAGCAAGAAAATAGTTTATACATCCTAAGTAACTAACTAAACCCAGGCAACAAATGAATCTAAGTAAGCTAATGAGTGTATATTACGTGAACTACCGAGACGCCCCGGGAGAAAACAAAACCCAAAAAATCCAGGACACGCATGGCCCCCTCCTTAGAGAACTTTTAAAGAAGAGAAAATAATGACGACACGGGGACCAGGACAAGCCACTGGAGAGGTGGGGAGAAAGCAGCAGGACAGAGGGTTTCAAAAGTAAACGTCAGGAGCCGGCAGCTTTCCATCTGCGACGATACTTTGGAGATGAACCAGGTCAATAAAACCCAACTCACAGAAACACACACAAACCAACCTTGAAAAGGCTGAATGACAAAATTAAATATGAACGTAACTATTTGAAAATTCCTAGTACTGTACCTGCGCCGTCATTTTAGTTAAAAACCTAAGAAAGACTTTGGGGGACCGTTCTGATCACCGAACACCAACTACAGTCCACCTACGGGCTTTTAAAAGCCATTTCTCCTACACCGCTTTCCAGCAGCCATGGTGTAAGCTGCACTAGACACGCCTTTGTCCCTAGGAGCCCTAAACACTGGTCTTAACACACTGCACATTCCTGCCCCGAGTCCCCTTCGTCGGAGCTGTGGACCCTCACCCCACTCACCTGGCCGCTCGCTCCCCAGTTCCCTCCAACTGCCTTCCCAGTAACTGTGGTCTCCCTGGTGACCTCAGAATAAAGACAAACACTCTGATGCACCTCCTTTTAAAGAGACAGTGACCATCTCACCTTGATTAGCCAAATCTGTCACCACAGCCCCCAAATCTTTCAAATGTGGTAGCACACCCATCTCAAAACAAGGCTCCAAGAGTTCAGAAACTACCTCTCAGAAGAAACTGGAAGCAAACTTTACTTTTCTACTTTGTAACACGATGCAAAGGAATGATGATGTTCTCGGGAACACAAACGATACTCATACCGCCTTGAAAAATAAACTTGTCTGGATTTGACTCGGGTTCCAAATGATTAACTAGGAAAGAAAACCTAATTATTTCTGTTGCATGGAATGAAATACAGTACATATTCGGAATAGATCGGATCATCTTAGGTAATTTGGTTCGTTTATGTGGACTTTTTTCTTATTTGCAAAATTGATTTATTAATTTCAACACAGAAATTCTAATATAAAACTGTGACTCATGAAACAAAAGCATGAATGTAAAATGGAAAAAAAGCCCTATAAGCAGCGTTAAGCGTGTTCTACACTGCAGCACGCAGCATGAGGAATGCGACTGAATGCGACCGTCGCCCCGGGCTCACGGAGGAATAACATTTTCTCCCAAGAAGAAAAGGTGGGCATCCCCGATGTTGGGGAAAAGCGAAAAACCCGTACATGCACATCGACTGTACTGGAATCACTTTTCTCCTACTAACTTGAAGTAGGAATAATGCTACGAAACCTCAGGCAAGGTGGGTGCTCTGATACCGCACCGACCCTGGACAAGGGCACGTGTAACAAGCATCAGCTGCAACACAGAAACAGAACCCGGACCCAGGAACGTGGCACGCTCGGCACAAGGCCACTGCGGTCGCCCCGCCTCTGTCAGGGGGCCATCAAGCTCATGACATCAGAGTTAAGCCTTGTGCCATTCTAACGCTTGTCTGAGAGCTCGGACTTCACCATTACAACGGACACCGTGGCTGCTCGGGAAGTGCCTGCCAAACGGTCTGACGACTGCGGCCAGCAGCTGTCCTTCCCAGTGCGCGTGGCCTTCCCTGACAAAGTGGCTGGCTAAGCTTGTGACTCAACCCCAGGGGCTCTTCCTGGGGACAGCCACCCTCTTTGGGGTGCACAAGTACTGATGTGCCCTTGCCCCTTCTTCTCAGGAGTGTCAAAGCGCTGGGGGATTGAGATTCAGTGAAACGAACCGTCTTTACCGCTTCACCACGCCCGTCCTGCAGTGAAGCCCGCACCGTGTAAGGGCCTGGTGCGCAGAGGCGGAGGGCACGCCAGAGGGTTAGATGTCCCCATCCCGACCTGCTTCTGCACCACTGGCGCACGTGTCAACTTGGCCTGCCAAAGCCGACTGTCACAGTGGAAAGAGTTGTGACCTCCTAGCCCCAGAGGAGTTGGGGGAGCTCCAGAGGTCCAGTGAACACACTGTGTGTGTGTGACAAGCCATTTCTAGCAGCGTAAGAACACACTGCATGTGTACGAAGTGCTAACACCCCTGTGCTTTGCTGTCAGAGGAGACCAAATGTTTCTTCCCACAAAATCACTCCCAAACCATCGTTCGATCTGCCCTTCAGACTCTCCAACTCCTCAAAATGTTAAGCTGCCAGAGTGAATTTCTTAAAAACAAAACCAAAAACACCCTCTCGGAATGTTCTACGTCCCCCTGAAACCCCTGAAAGTGCTCATGACGCAGGACGACCGCCACGGCCGACCTGGGGGCACACTTTCCAAAGCAGGCTGCGGGCCAGCCCCGCCCATGTCAAGTGAGTCAGTTCCATACGGCTAGGAGCCGTGTCTCTCTAAGACACACTCAAACAGGTGACACCCACTACAATGTTCCTGCTGGCAGGGCACGACCACCCTGAGAAACAGCAGCGCAGCTCTGCCCATCTCCCATCTGGCGGCAAAACCCAGTGTCTCCGAACCTCATGTCCCCCTGGAATAAGACTCAGAACTCAGAACTAACGATTCAAATTCCGACACGCTTCTCATTTGCCACTCAGAAATTCCATCCAAACACGACATGACCTCGTCCTTGGGGACTCTGCTGACTCGGATTCCTAACTGTGACAGGCCAGGCCGGAGCATCCCATTATTTACAGCTGCGTTAGGGGTGCCCTGTCTCACCCCCAGCCTCTGCCACAAGCTCTCTCACTACAAAAGGAGCAGGGAGGGAAGATGTCGAGTCCAGACCCTTCCACAATTCAGTTTTTATTGATGGGACAGCCACCAGCAAGCAGGCATCCATGAATTTCAGATCCGGGCCCGCCCCCAGAGCAGGGCAGGGGAGGGGTCACAGAGGAAGCCACGCCCATAGAGAAATCTATAAGCAACCCTGCTTCTAAAACGTCTTAGGTATTCTTGCTTTACCCATCTGTGAGGACAAAAAGCAAACCTTGTCGCTCAGAACGCTGAGGGACCAGTGCCTCCACCAGCCCTGGGGCAGCTGGGCCTCAGCTCCCCGGCCGCGGGGCGTAACAGGTGCCTTGGTTTCTCTCTCCATCGATTCCAGTGCCAGCACAGGCTTGTGACCTTGGTAGGCAGCTCTCTGAATGAGTCGGGGACCAGAACAGTCCAGAAGGAAGAGAACCGACGCGGCACGGCTCTGCCTTGTGGTGCGGACAGTCCCCCAGCCTGCTGCTGCCTTGGATGGCTCCTGCTGCGGTGTGTGTGCCCGTGCCGCCCCAATTCCCTGGAAACCTAGAGCCTAAGGCCACGGGCCAGTAGGCAGTGCCTCTGGGAGGTGAGGACCCGACTGGGATCAAAGGACCCCAGAGAGCTCAGCCCCTCCTCCGTCCTGTGAGGACACACAAGATCGGCACTTGTGACCTGGAAGAGGCCGCACGAGGGCCAGACCGTCCAATGTCTCGAGGGGCAGATGTCCGCTGCACACAGCCCCCTCCGCGGCGCGGTGCTGCAGCGGCCCGGGCCGCCTCGCATGGCCCAGTGAGCAAGAAAGCACGGTTCCAAACGCTGTGCCAAGGGCGGCCCAGCTTTTACAGCCCAGGGGACCGACTGGTGCTCCGAGGACAGAGCCACCACCTGGGTCTTAGTATCCCTCTGACCTGTACTGGGTCTTGATCTAATTAAGAAGTCTGTCCTATGGGATAAGTCTGGCTAGAGCTAAATACCTGAGGCCAGCATCGGGATGGTTCCTGGACAGGAGCCCCGTCCTCCCCAGACCAGGACAGAGCGCGAGCAAGCACATGCTCTCCGCGTGTGCTCAGAGAGGGGACAGAAGCACTATAAGTCACTTCCCAAGACAGAAGACCCTAAAATGCCACTTCATCCTTGCTGGGTGGGCACTCTGGGGGCTGATTCCCCCGAGTCTCAGGTCTTGTAGCTATTAATTAAGAATTATTCAACGTTCCTCCAGGGGATCCGCTCTCGCCAACTGCGCCCCTTACTGGTTTGGGCCCCAAGTGCATCTGTGCGGGCTACTCCCGCTGGCACCTCCAGGGGCACCGCTGCAAGACCCCTAATTGCCTGCTGTGGGCTCCTGTGGTCGCGCTGCGAGACCTTGGTTTGGGCCCAAGTGCATCTGTGCGGGCTACTCCCGCTGGCACCTCCAGGGGCACCGCTGCAAGACCCCTAATTGCCTGCTGTGGGCTCCTGTGGTCGCGCTGCGAGACCTGCATTATTCTGCAGCCCCCAACAGAGGCCACTTTCACCCCCATGTCACTGTGGTGAGACCTGTTACAGTGCCAGTAGAGGGCCGGGTATAATTAAAGGACGTCCTGTAACAAACACAAAATGTCACTTAACATACAAAATCGTGGTGCCTCTCTCATTCAGGTCCATTGCCTACAGGGTCAAATGCCCTAAAGCTAAAAGGGGTCCTGGGACCCTCCCACCCAGCAGGCACCAGGCCTCACTTCAGGAAGGCCACTCTGAGGGAGAGGTGTGCACTGAACACCACTGTGTCTGTGACCACAAACCAGCCTTTTCCGCAAAAGCTAGTATGTGGTTGAGCCAATTAAAAAACGTAAGACATTGCTTGTCTTCCTAAAAGTAATTCATTTTCTCGGGCGTTAAAGTTTAAAATCAATTGTTTTTTAAATTTTGTACTTTTTAACAATAAGACTATTTCTAACCATCACCTACAGCACAGGTTCTCATGGTGTGGTCCTTGGGACCTTTTGAGGTTCCGCAAGGTCAAACTTTTTGCACAACACTACGACGTGTACCTTTTCCACTAGTCACTCTCTCAAGAGTACATGGCAGTGTCCTAAAAGCAGATACGAGAACCCGGCTGTTGTCAGT